TTCAAAAACATACATTGGACGGCTGAAATAAGGAAAATAAAGTTATTGGAAAACTACAGCAGAAATATTCTAGTGATTTTTTTTTTTAGTCCAGTAGACTCTCGCAAAACATGCGATCGAGCAACACGTTTTTTGTTAAAAACAACTCAAGTTTTGCAAACCATTTTTAAGTAGCATGAGAGGATGACCATGTAGCACACCATAAATATAGGGGAAAATAACTGGAAGGCAGCTCACGATAGCTAGTAACCCATAACAACAGTTATACATTCCCCTGTGTTTAACATCCATTTATCTACTCTAGTTGTGTTTATATTTTTATTAAATATATTGGTGATTGATGATAGTTCTGGTCTGGTTATGAAAAATGTTTCTGTTTGGAGTTTAGAGGGCCATCACAGCATAACAACATAATGGTCATGCATACACTGAGAGCAGAATTCATGCAGCTCTGGAATCACAGTACTACACATTTTTCTTGGTCAGTAATTTTTCAGATGCATTTGTTTTCAGTGTGTTTGTGTACCATAAGTGTGGTGAGTTCCTAAGTGTGTGGTTCATTTTGATAAGGAAATGTGGCTTATTTTTACTAATGTTGGAAAGTGGTGGTGGTAGCTCATACTGCCTGCTGTGTTTTTACAGGGCCACATAACTCTGTCCACACATTTCTATATTAAGAAGCAGTGACAGCTATAATGTAAGGAATGGCAAACTTTATTATTTTTGATGAATTGTGGAATTTACAAAAAAAAGTGTTTGACTTTTTCTTTTTTACAAGTGAGGAACATAACCTTATTTTTCTAATGTTTTCTTCAGTTCACTTAACATCGTGTAACTAGTCATTTTCTGGAACGTAACTACCAAATTATTTGAGAGTCTACTGATTATTGAGTAGGATGTAACTTGATTCTCTCAGCTGTGATACTGCTGTTATTCATTCAGTGACAGCACAACATATCGAGGGTAATATACATAAAAATATTGCTATGTAAATTATGGCCATGTTATCCCACACATATGGTTGTAATGTTTTCATAAAGGATTGAAGCAAAATGCTGAAGATTATTATCTTATAAGAAACACAGATAAGTATATACATAAAACTTGAACTTGTTTGTAGCTGTATGTGTGTGTTGAGACCAGGCCATCAAGGACCAAAGTGGAAATATTTTAACTTTTCAGAATACCTAGCATATCTAGCTATCAGCTTAATTCACAGCTGACCCACAAATCTAATATAAAGCTTTTGAAAACATTTCAGTCTTATGTGGACCATTATCCAGCTTAGTATTTGGCTTTGAGAAGGACCTGCATAGCATGGGTCATTAAGCCTCTTGCAATACTCCTCCATTCTTATGTTCTTATGTTGATGTTGTAAGAGGCTACACCTAAACATAACAGTCACACACAGCTCCACATGAAGTATCATACAACATAAACACACTCTTTAGATTATGTATACACATCATGGTTACTCCATAAAGTAAACGACTGTCTGTAAGTGTTTATGTTGATTGTTTTATACTCATTCGATCATTCTAGGGGGACTCACTTGATCATTCTATGAGGGATTCACTTGATCATTTTAGGGGGATTCACCTGATCATTCTAGGGGAACTCACCTGATCATTCTATGGGGACTCAACCAACCATTCTAGGGGGACTCACCTGATCATTCTATGGGGCTCACCTGATCATTCTATGGAGGACCCACCTGATCATTCTATGGGGACTCACCTGATCATTCTATGGGGTGGGAGGTTATAGTGACCCAACCATTTTACAGGTGGTGCTTTTATGCTGGTGAAGGGTTCTTGATGCAAGGCACTGGAGCTATACTCCACATCTTCAGATCGATCCAGAATTACTCCTCCTCTTTCTCAGATGCTGTATAACCCATACGGGTTTAGTTTTCCCATGAATAGAATAATACAAATAATACTATGGGTTAATTATTAGCTCACAATAGGTGCCAAACCCATTGGAGGTCAGACAAAGGTGACCTGTGAGGGTAAACCTTACCTGGGTATGATGATCACAGAGAGTACATGTGATCTAAACTTGGTCAGGAGTACAGTGAACTCTGACTTGAAAATTTCTTACCTCTTTGAAGGACATAATAGAATTAGAGTTTATATTAATTGTATTGCATTTGTGGATTTTTTTTACATAATTTCGTAAATGTAGAACATATAAATGAATAATACAATAATTGTGTATTAAAATGTGATGGTATTTGGACCGTTCGAGAAATTTCGAGTGAGAGGTGGTAGAAGAGCTGTGGAGTGACGCTGGCGGGAGATGCCATATTGAATTTAATGTGTGAACACTGGACTGAGTTGTGCAATGTGATCGAGTGTTCTCGAAGGTCAGTTGGGGTTTTTCGGCCTGAATTTGTAATTAGGAACCCGTGTTAATGTCCCCTGCTGAAGAATTGGGACAGGAAGTTTACGAGACCTCGAATTATGTGTGGATGGTGGAAGATAAGGGATGCGAACATCACTCACAGGGAAGTGCACCATTAGTATTTGCATTTTGATCTCTAGCTGGTCAGTGTAGGGTCTAGGTGTTAGGCAGGTGTTGTGGTGTGATCCATCTACACTAATTAAATGGCAAGTGTTAATAAGAATTTCCTTTCTAATAACACCAATAATTTATGTATAATATGTTCTGTGTACCCAGCAACCCTAATCATATACAGTCCACACAAATTTAATTTATCAGAGTAGCTGGTTTTAGTATTGTAATTATTAATTTAATGCCAGGTCTAGTTTTTGTGAGAGCGGTGAAGAAGTGGGTATCGAGGGAGTTACAGTTCAGCAACTTGCTGTGACTCAAGTCCCACTTATCTCACCCAAATTACATGCAGGTAATAATTCAGGTAATGCCCTGTAACCCTCTTGCAAGTGATTTGCCCACATAATAATAATTCACAGCATTTAATGAGGTGCTATACATGTGTGGATTATTCAAGGATAAGTGGAGACTTGATCCTCCATCTGCTGATTGTGGCACCCATTCTTTGACCAGTCAGACTGTCGGTGATGGACCTGAGCAGACCTTTGTAAGCCAAGAATAATAATATAAACAAGTGAAGATATGCCTAGTGCTCCTACGCCACACTGTACAGTACAGTACTGACGTCAGAGAACACACTGAAGAAAGCTAAATATATCCTTGACCCTCTTTACCCATTACTGCTAGTTTTATGATACTGACCACTGATGGGTACAGCACCTGTGGAATGGGAGGTAATCAGGCTTGATACAAGGGGACGGTAGCTCCAATTTAATAGATCAAGAGTCCTTCACTATCATCATTCCTCTGTTTAATGTGGGTTTTTAATGCAAAAAAAAAAAAAAAGACAATTTACTGGTTTAAGAATGTTCTCTGCCAGTTTTCTCTCACATCGTTTCATAAATACAACTCTTCTTCATTTAGTCCTAACACCATTTTATTGCTACTCTTTGTCTCCTCTCGGTCTCTCTCTTGATAGAATAAATGTCACTTAGGTGCTGTGAATAACTTTATTAACCAAACCTTCATCTCATATTACTCGACCTGGTCATAATTTATATACCATTCCAGTTTTCTGTTCCATTATGATAACTGAAAGACACTTTAAGCTGGGTAACAACTTTATTTGATTATGTATCATCCACAGTGGGGATTTATCAATTGTTGTAGAAAGTCCCACTATGGTTGAAACCTATCATAAAGCCACACCGTGGGTGAAATAGTGAAATAAAGTTCGTCCCGGCATAAAGTGTCTGGGAATTACCACTTACCAGGTTAAGCTATTGTCTGTGAACTTGTTGCATCATGCAGTTATCTCGGTACACTAACTCACGTCCTCTTCTATCCATCATTTTCTCTGTCTACCTATCGTTTCTCTGTTTACTTATTCTTCTCTTCCCAGATTTTCTCTTGTTATATTTTTACACCCTTAGTCTCTTCTCTCCTCTTCCCCCTTGTCTCACTTTACCTAGTTCCTGTCTCAAAAGAGAGTCACTGATTAATGGTGACTATGTACAAAGAATATATATATATATATATATATATATATATATATATATATATTATATATATATATTATAATATATATTATATAAATATTATATACTATATATTTACTTTTATTATATAGTATATTATATATATAATAATATATTATCATAATATATATATTATATATATATATATATATATAATTATAATAAACTTATATATATATATATATAATTATATATATATATATTATATTATATATTATATATATAATATATATAAATATATATATATAAAAAATATATAATATAATATATAATATATATATATATATATATATATTATATATATATAATATATATCAGTGAGGTGAAGAGAAGAGAGGGCGTCACGAGCCTTGATGCAGGGGTGCGTACCCTGGAAATTATATTTCCTCAGCAATCCCTCGAAACAGATTACATTACCTCTCCCATTCCTTTGGTGCTGCAAGACTTACGGGTTACTGGTAATAGTGGTGGTTGGTGTAGTCTTGTTGGTGTCTGTTGATAGTCACTCCAGAGTGCTCTCCAGGCCCTCAAGTTGATCGCAGTGCTGATGGTCCTTTGGCCCCTCACATAGAAAAGCTTCAGAGATCACTAGCAGTCTGATCAGGGACCGAGCCGCAATCAGCGGACGGAGGTTCAAGCCTTCCCTCCACACCTAGTGCTGAATACCCACATGGGTTCAGCACTCGATGAAAAATATCCACTCAAAGAGCTAAGAGTGGTTGTCTATTATGGGACTCTTGCTGCATCCTTCCCGAGACCCCGGGAATGATGCAGTGTTGGGACGCTGACAAGGACGTCATGCTTGGGGTCGCACTGAGCCTTGAGCATCATGAAGAACCCCGCCTGTGTGGGGGTACAGCCTTGGAGGTAGTGGTTGTTGTGGTGGTGGCAGTGGTAGCTATAACAGCAGTAGTGGTGGTGGTGATGTGAAGACAAACATACAAGTTGCGCAGAAATTTTTATATATGAGACAACGTTTCGTTATATTCAGAGCTTTATCAGTAAAATCGTGTTCTGCAACTTGTCTTTGTGTTCATGCTTGTGGGCAACACGCCATGTGCAGTCGTAGTGGTAGTTGATGCTCCTGAAGCAGGTGGCAAAGCAGCTGGTGCAGGAGGCTAGTCTAACAGCAACACTTGGAGGGCTTTAAGAGGTTATGTAAGTAATGGAAGTGCCAGGGAACTGGCCTAGCAGAATTAGTAGTAGTAGTAGTAGGTCACTCGTCTAGTAGTCCCGGTTGTCCTTAGACGAGGCTTGTTCTCCCCTACCATCTAGTAGTCCCGGTAGTCTCTGGAAGGGGTTCGATGCCTGACTCCCCCGTTCTGAGCGACGGGAGTGGTACCTCTGGAACGTGAGCCGGAGCGTGGTACACCGTGAACACTCCTGAAGCGTCTTGAGAGATGCCGCCGGGTCTTCTTACACCGCTGAGGAAGAGAGTCACGAGTTACTTCAGGGAAGAGAACCTGTTCTCTCCCTTTCCTCCTCAGAAGACATTCACGAGTTACATCAGGGCAGAGAGCCTGTTCTCTTCTCCCTCTCAGAAACAAACTATTACAATAGAAGAGACTGATAGGAAAATACGACCAGTTATAAGAAGGGAAAATATCCTTAGGGGAAAATGTCACCACTGGGGTGCCACAAGGATCTGTTCTTGCCCCGAGGATATTTTTACTTTATATAAATAACTTGGCAAAAGGAACAGAAAACTATATGAATATGTTTGTGAACAATGAATTTTGATATGCACAATAAAAATAAAAATGACTAAACATTTACGAGATGAATTGGCTAAATTGAGCAAATGGAGTTAGAGATTGATCATGGAATTTAATGTAGATAAATACCATTTAACTAAACTGAGAATTCCGGCCACATGAAGAATGTAGACTCTGACAAAATAATGAGATTATCAAATAGGGATGCAGTTGTAATTAAAATAAGTATACTTCACTATCATGTAAACAAAACTGAAAGACTCATATGATAGTAACGATAAAATAACTTTTAAATATATGGATTGAGAAATACTAAACAACTCTGTTTACGACATTAAATATATATTAATACTCACCTCATTCCTGAGAGCGAGCTTCGACTGGTAGTTGATCTTCTCAAGAGCCTGACGTACCCAGTAGGGCTGGTTTGGTACCAGCCACATAAGTGCAACCTTGGCACCCAGGATGAGGTGCTCCAGCAACACGAAGAGAAGAACCCACTCGACTGGGGAGGTGGAAGGGGCAAGGGGTCGAACACGAGGGGACATACAGAGGAGAGCACAGTTGGTGATAACCGCTACACACCCGAGCAGCTCGAAGGCTCCCTGGGAGAGAAATGATACGGTGAAAGTAATGGTAGACGTTAGTTTAGTTTAATATGTTTATTATGCACCCCATACCCATCCTGTGGGCGGTAGTCAAAAGATTACAGAGGCACATAATTGGTCCAGGGACTGGACTCCAAAGTTTTGATAGCTGAGCAAGTTACAGAGGTAATGAACTCACAATTTACAAAGGTAATGAACTCACAATTTACAAAGGTAATGAACTCACAATTTACAAAGGTAATGAACTCCAGGTAAGTCTGGTCACAATCATGACAAGTTACAAAGGTATTTACAGATTACAGAGGTACGTAATGGGTCCAGGGACTGGGCCCCCAAAGTTTTGATAGCTGAACTAGGTACAAAGGTAATGGTAGACAATGGGAGCACTTGGCAGAGAATGGTGGTTATGGTAGCTAGTGATGACCACCAGCTACCATAACCACCACCAGCTACCATAACCACCACCAGCTATTGATTTTGGTAACTGGTCGGTATTGGGAAAAATATGCTTTAACATTAATTCAGCGTTACGACCATGAGATCATTTTGTCATTTTCTTCAATAAAAATGTAAACACATACATAAACGCTTCATCAAAACCTAATACTAAAACCCTTATCATGTACACGTGTTACAGTGTCTGACTTAATTCTGATTGTCTTCCTGTCTGCCTTCCCACCAAGACCTGGCAGATTCCTCGACTCGGGAAAAATATACAGGATAACCAAATAAACCCGCCGTGTCTGGCTTATTTCCACTGAAGTCCTATGATTCTCTTTTCCAGGATGCTGTATAGTCCTTGTGGCTTAGCGCTTCTTTTTGATTATAATAATAATAATAATAATAATCTTTTCCAGGATACGACCCTCAACAGCCTGCTAACCCCCAGGTACCTACTTAATGCTAGGTGAACAGGGTGTAACGAAAGATGCCCAGCGTCACCCATTGTGATAGGATCGAAGTCAAGCCATTCAAATGTGAACCACAACTAGTTGTGTATACTGACCTGCCACACGCCGATGGAGCCGACCTTCTTGACGCTGGGTCGCTGGTACACTCGACACAACTTGAAGGCGTCAGTCTTCAGTTCGAGAATATTATTGAGGACCGCCCAGAAGGCCGCCATCGGATACACCGAAGAGAAGAGGAAGACGTAGCCGAACTGCAGGAACATCTCCAAGTAGTCGTCATAGCAATCCTGAGGGAAGAGGGGAGGTATGTAGCCATAGGGACGAGGAAGTTATAGCCATGGGGGTAGAGGGGGTTGTAGCCATGGGGAAGAGGGGGTTGTAGCCATGGGGAAGAGGGGGGGGTTGTAGCCACGGGGAGGAGGGGGTTGCAGCCATGGGGAAGAGGGGGTTGTAGCCATGGGGAAGAGGGGGGGTTGTAGCCATGGGGAAGAAGGGGTTGTATCCATGGGGAAGAGGGGGGTTGTACCCATGGGGAAGAGGGAGAATTGGGTAGTCATAGGGAAGAAGGAGCGTTAGAGTTTGTATGAATATTCTTTGGACTAAGGTCAAAGAGGACGTGATGTGAAACAGCTTACATTATTGGTGGGTGGAGGCTCGATCTTCTGTCCAGTAACAAAAGCAGTTGTAACTTGAAATAAACATTAAGATGGAAGAGATCTTACCTCGTAGGGGTCGAGGTCAGCCTCCTCCTTGGCCTGGGTGATCCTCGGGTCCTTGGAGTCGAGCGAGAGGACCGGGACAGGCTCTTCTTCCAGAGGGGCCGAGTGGACCGGACGAACCACCTCCAGGAAGAACCTCTCAGTGAGTGGGTGGTTCCTCAGCTCCGTCACCACCCTCTCAGCCATCTGAGGAAGAAAAGCAAGTTCAGGTTGGGTCTTATTTCACGTCCATGTGTGCTGAACAATCCGCGGACGGGAGACCAAGTCCCTAGTCCCTACATTGATTACCTCCCCCCCCCCCACTGACTCACGAAATCGTAATAATACGAGTGCAAACAAAACAAACCAGGGAACGGGTGGGAGTTGAACCCTTGGCGAGTGAATCGTAAAATTCCAAGCCAGTGCGTAAGCCATTAGGCCAGTTGGCTTAGTGGCTACCCTCCCTATGATGTATAAATACATGTATCAGGCAATACATAGCCCACACACACATGTATCAAGTATCGCTTGCTTCATATGTATAACAGTGAGTGACACGCGGATGATGATGATGATCTGGTCACATTAAGTATGCACACCAACACTTCACCAGACTTTCTTAAATAAGTCGAGAAGTTTTAATTCATCTTCAGTATACAAGAATAATTCTTTGTAATTGTTTTATAAAGTAACTTACGTGTACACTAAGTCAGGATAACCCACAAATCTAAAACTACTGCTACTACTACAGTTAAAATAAAACGCTAAACCCACAAGGGTCGTACAGCGCTTCAAAACCTCAAACACACTGATCTATTATTATTATTATTATTATTAGCTGAAGCGCTAAACTCGAAAGGGTCATACGGCGGTTAGAGTTCAATGCACCAGAAATATGTCCATTCATTTTTCGATCATATGCTTTGGCAACGCAACAGCAGCAGCTGAGCTTATATGACCCTAATGGGTTTAGCAGTTAGTTATGACTAATAATCCGGCAGAGGAGCAGCGCCGCTGGTCAAACCAACTAGACTGAATGAAGGTCATCACACAGAACAAACATTACCAACACTTCTGAACGAGACCACAACAGCAGCCAGCACTGGGAAGCACCAACACCAGCACATCCAGCCTCCGGAAAAACCAATAACCCGGAGCAAGCAAACAGGTCCAGGGACTTAACACGTAATTAGAGACTGGTCGAGCTAGACACTCGGCTAGTGTCTTAAGGAAGCACCCAGGTTGTAAAACTGGTAATTATGCAGCTTTTAGTGCAGCGATGCTGTTGTAAGATGAGCCAAGCGATTTAAGGAAGCTACATAAAACGCCAGGAAAGTTCTGGCTCTAGGCTGTCCTTCCAGTGACATTTTTGGAATAAGATACTTAGAAATGTGATAGAAACAAGCTGATTGCATCAAAACGTTGCCAGAATTATGCACTATTTTTCAATAAGAAAACATTTTTTTGCCAAAATTTTCGATTTTTTTCCCAAGAAGTCTCTCTCCCCCCCTCAAATGCCTGTTTAATAATATTATTATTATTTTTATTATTATTATTAATAGTACTACCACCACCACTACTACTACTAATAATAATAAAATAGTACTACTAACTACTACTACCAATAATAATAACAAAACAAGGCTTCCTCAGTGGAACAGGAATTTTTTGTAGGTACGTACTTATATTGTGTCCACAACATGTTTAAACTGAGGAAACACGTCCAAGTTATCAAAACATCCTTACTGACGATAGTCTCAGTTGATTGAAATATACGCCATTGTTATTCTGTTATGACGGAGTGCTTTTGATATCGCTGATCGATGGCACTAACGGAGATGGCACCCCCCACTCTCTTAGCTCTGGCAGTGTCAACACTAACCCGTGACTGGTGTTTTCACGATTAGTATCCATCGCTGCGCACTCACTGCTATATCCCCCATACGGATTTGGCGCTTATTTGTTGTATAATTATAACGTGCACTAACAGCTACATCGTCTATGTTCACTCGTGTCTCGCCCAACTGTCTCTCACCTAGCTATCTCTCACCTAGTTGTCTCTCACCTAGCTGACTCACCTAGTCTCCCGTGGAGAGCTAAAGGGATAACTTCCTTGAATTTATAAAAATGACACTATGGCAAGGACACTATGGTGGTGTCCTTGCTACCTTAACACCATGGTGGTGTCCTTGCTACCTTGACACCATGGTGGTGTTCTTGCTAGCAGAGCCTGTCACATCAACTTGTCCGGTTTTTAGCCATTTACATTCTGAAATGAACAAAAGGGCACAATACCGTGACTGGTACAATACACAAATACCCCGCACATAGGAGAGAGGAGCTTATGACTTGTATGACTAGTTAATGCTCTAACTAGGACCATTAACTACTTACACAAGTCATGAGTTTGTTTCTCCCGTGTGCCGGTTATTTGCGTATTTGTATCCTGTCTGTCGTGGATGTCTGACTGTCTGGAGGCGTATAAGTAAGAGTTGAGGAGAAGCCCAGGAGCCTTGCCTAGTCTTAGCCTAGTGTTGAACTGAGAGGGAGGCCTGTGGCTGGCGACACACGTACGGGACTCAGATCACGCAAGAAGTGAGCCTATCTATAAAGTAGCTGGGTTTATCTAAGTATACTACACAGGTACACAGTAGCACTACCGACATGTCAGGTCAATGATTTCTTCGCCCGAGGAAGACCGAGCATCATGTGACTGAAGGTACTGTTGAAGATGGAAGATTAAAATACATGTACAACAGTTGGGTATCTTTAATGATCATAAGTTTCGCCTACACAGTAGGCTTCTTCACTCGAATACAAAGGCAGCAGTAGTAATGAAATAAAGATAATGTAACAAGATCCTTCAACCCCGGGGAAAAAGTATTTGAGGTGGTCAGTCCCTTAGCCTGGAGAAGAGTTGAGCTCCATGGAGCTCAACGACATTGATGATATAAGGTCAGCGAGCGTCCATGACGTGACTAATACACGTACTGTGACTCCTCTTGTGCAGGTCAGTGTTCCGAGTCCATGATAATCATAAAGAACGATCACGAGAGGTCAAGATAGCTACTTCATAGACATATTAGGTGGTTAATACCTCTGTATGTGTGCTCAAATTGTTAATAAATAAATAAAAAAAAAAGTATACACGGTCCCAGCATGGCGCCCACACCAGGCCAAACACTTGCGCAGCGGCACGCACACACAGGTCCAAAAGTTAGCAAGTACATTAAGCAAACACAACAACGAAATTTGATTTCTTTATGCAATAAACAAAATGTATTTACATGTAATAAAATATTAAGCATAAAAGAAAGCCACTAGTATGCTGTGCATTTCGGCCCGACCTGAGAGGGAAGGACCCAACTGGGAATGCAAGGATCTCAATGGAAATACAAGGATCCCAGTGGAAATACAAGGATCCCAATGGAAATACAAGGATCCCAATAGAAATTCAAGGGTCCCAATGGGAATACAAGGATCCCAATGGAAATACAAGGATCCCAGTTGGAATACAAGGATCCCAATGGGAATACAAGGATCCCAATGGAAATACAAGGATTCCAATGGGAATACAAGGATCCCAATGGAAATACAAGGATCCCAATAGAAATTCAAGGGTCCCAATGGGAATACAAGGATCCCAATGGAAATACAAGGATCCCAGTGGGAATACAAGGATCCCAATGGGAATACAAGGATCCCAATGGAAATACAAGGATTCCAATGGGAATACAAAGATCCCAATGGAAATACAAGGATCCCAATGGAAATACAAGGATCCCAATGGAAATACAACGATCCTAATGGAAATACAAGGATCCCAATGGGAATACAAGGATCCCAATGGAAATACAAGGATCCCAATGAGAATACAAGGATCCCAATGGAAATACAAGATCCAGCAATGGAAATAAATCACTTTGACTTTATTGGGTTATCCTGGTGGGTAATTTACACATATGTTACTATGTATGATAATTTGTGTAACTGTATTTATGTGTAGGTGTACCTGAATAAACTTACTGATGCACTATGAGAACACGGTGAAGCCCACACCATGGGCCAGCCCCACACCATGGGCCAGCCCCACACCATGGGCCAGCCCCACACCATGGGCCAGCCCCACACCATGGGCCAGCCCCACACCATGGGCCAGCCCCACACCATGGGCCAATCCCACACCATGGGCCAGCCCCACACCATGGGCCAGCCCCACACCATGGGCCAGCCCCACACCATGGGCCAGCCCCACACCATGGGCCAGCCCCACACCATGGGCCAGCCCCACACCATGGGCCAATCCCACACCATGGGCCAGCCCCACACCCCCACCCCAGTCCATGGGCCAAGACCATCCCCAATAAGGAACTGAGAGTCAGTTTTCCTGGTAGTGTAAGACAGGACGTAATAAAGTGTGGCTGTAAGGGTCATCACCTGCTAGTGGGAAGTACTGTGTCAGTCTTACACTCACAATGGCAAGCTTCCAGGGTCGAGTCCCTGAGACAGAGGAATTAGGGCAAGTTTCTTTACACCCTTATACCCTGACTTTGCTCTTTGTAAATAAAGCATTATTACTGTGTGTGTGTGTGTGTGTGTGTGTGTGTGTGTGTGTGTGTGTGTGTGTGTGTGACCTAATTAAGGTTTCCATAAATAACTAACTCATTATGACTACACTACACCTGGGGGAGGTAGTAACTCACCTGGGGGAGGCAGTAACTCATCTGGTGAGGTAGTAACTCACCTGGGGAGGTAGTAACTCACCTGGGGGAGGTAGCAACTCACCTGGTAGAAGTAGTAACTCACATGGGGGAGGTAGTAACTCACCTGGGGAGGTAGTAGCTCACCTGGGGAGGTAGTAACTCACCTGGGGGAGGCAGTAACTCACCTGGGGAGGTAGTAGCTCACCTGAGGAGGTAGTAACTCACCTGGGGAAGGCAGTAACTCACCTGGGAAGGTAGTAACTCACCTTAGGAGGTAGTAACTCACCTGGGGGAGGTAGTAACTCACCTGGGGAGGTAGTAACTCACCTGGGGAGGTAGTAACTCACCTGGGGGAGGTAGTAACTCACCTGGTGAGGTAGTAACTCACCTGGGGGAGGTAGTAACTCACCTGGGGGAGGTAGTAACTCACCTTGGGAGGTAGTAACTCACCTGGGAGAGGTAGTAACTCATCTGGGAGAGGTAGCAGCTCACCTGGGGAGGTAGTAACTCACCTGGGGGAAGTAGTAACTCACCTGGGGGAGGTAGTAACCCACCTTGGGAGGTAGTAACTCACCTGGGGAGGTAGTAACTCACCTGGGAGAGGTAGTAGCTCACATGGAGAGGTAGTAACTCACCTGGGGGAGGTAGTAACTCACCTTGGGCAGGTAGTAGCTCACCTGGGGAGGTAGTAACTCACCTGGGGAGGTAGTAACTCACCTGGGGGAGGTAGTAACTCACCTGGGAGAGGTAGTAGCTCACCTGGGGAGGTAGTAACTCACCTGGGGGAGGTAGTAACTCACCTGGGGAGGTAGTAACTCACCTGGGGAGGTGGTAACTCACCTGGGAGAGGTAGTACCTCACCTGGGGAGGTAGTAACTCACCTGGGGGAGGTAGCAACTCGCCTGGGGGAGGCAGTAGCTCACCTGGGGACGTAGTAACTCACCTGGGGAGGTAGTAACTCACCTGGGGGAGGTAGTAACTCACCTGGGAGAGGTAGTAGCTCACCTGGGGGAGGTAGTAACTCACCTGGGAGAGGTAGTAACTCACCTGGGAGAGGTAGTAGCTCACCTGGGGAGGTAGTAACTCACCTGGGAGAGGTAGTAGCTCACCTGGGGAGGTAGTAACTCACCTGGGAGAGGTAGTAACTCACCTGGGAGAGGTAGTAGCTCACCTGGGGAGGTAGTAACTCACGTTGGGGAGGTAGTAACTCACCTGGGGGAGGTAGTAGCTCACCTGCGGAGGTAGTAACTCACCTGGGGAGGTAGTAACCCACCTGGGAGAGGTAGTAACTCACCTGGGAGAGGTAGTAGCTCACCTGGGGGAGGTAGTAACTCACCTAGGAGAGGTAGTAACTTACCTGGGAGAGGTAGTAGCTCACCTGGGGGAGGTAGTAACTCACCTGGGAGAGGTAGTAATTCATCTGGGAGATATAGTAGCTCACCTGGGGAGGTAGTAACTCACCTGGGGAGGTAGTAACTCACCTGGGAGAGGTAGTAGCTCACCTGGGGGAGGTAGTAGCTCACCTGGGGGAGGTAGTAACTCACCTGGGAGAGGTAGTAGCTCACCTGGGGGAGGTAGTAACTCAACTGGGGGAGGTAGTAACTCACCTGGGGAGGTAGTAACTCACCTGGGGGAGGTAGTAACTCACCTGGGGGAGGTAGTAACTCACCTGGGGGAGGTAGTAACTCACCTGGGGAGGTAGTAACTCACCTGGGGGAGGTAGTAACTCACCTGGGGAGGTAGTAACTCACCTGGGGGAGGTAGTAACTCACCTGGGGGAGGTAGTAGCTCACCTGGGGAGGTAGAAACTCACCTGGGGGAGGTAGTAACTCACCTGAGAGAGGTAGTAGCTCACCTGGGGAGGTAGTAACTCACCTGGGAGAGGTAGTAACTCACCTGGGGAGGTAGTAACTCACCTGGGAGAGGTAGTAACTCACCTGGGAGAGGTAGTAGCTCACCTGGGGAGGTAGTAACTCACCTGGGGGAGGTAGTAACTCACCTGGGGGAGGTAGTAGCTCACCTGCGGAGGTAGTAACTCACCTGGGGGAGGTAGTAACTCACCTGGGAGAGGTAGTAACTCACCTGGAAGAGGTAGTAGCTCACCTGGGGGAGGTAGTAACTCACCTGGGAGAGGTAGTAACTCACCTGGGAGAGGTAGTAGCTCACGTGGGGGAGGTAGTAACTCACCTGGGAGAGGTAGTAACTCATCTGGGAGATATAGTAGCTCACCTGGGGAGGTTGTAACTCACCTGGGGAGGTAGTAACTCACCTGGGAGAGGTAGTAACTCACCTGGGAGAGGTAGTAGCTCACCTGGGGGAGGTAGTAGCTTACCTGGGGGAGGTAGTAACTCACCTGGGAGAGGTAGTAGCTCACCTGGGGGAGGTAGTAACTCAACTTGGGGAGGTAGCAACTCACCTGGGGAGGTAGTAACTCACCTGGGGGAGGTAGTAACTCACCTGGGGGAGGTAGTAACTCACCTGGGGGAGGTAGTAACTCACCTGGGGAGGTAGTAACTCACCTGGGGGAGGTAGTAACTCACCTGGGGAGGTAGTAACTCACCTGAGGGAGGTAGTAACTCACCTGGGGGAGGTAGTAACTCACCTGGGGAGGTAGTAACTCACCTGGGGGAGGTAGTAACTTACCTGGGAGAGGTAGTAGCTCACCTGGGGAGGTAGTAACTCACCTTGGGAGTTAGTAACTCACCTTGGGAGGTAGTAACTCACCTTGGGAGGTAGTAACTCACCTGGGGGAGGTAGTAACTCACCTTAGGAGGTAGTAACTCACCTGGGGGTGGTAGTAACTCACCTGGGGAGGTAGTAATTCACCTGGGGGAGGTAGTAACTCACCTGGGGAGGTAGTAACTCACCTGGGGGAGGTAGTAACTCACCTTGGGAGGTAGTAACTCACCTTGGGAGGTAGTAACTCACCTGGGGAGGTAGTAACTCTCCTGGGGAGGTAGTGACTCACCTGGGGGAGGTAGTAACTCACCTTGGGAGGTAGTAACTCACCTTGGGAGGTAGTAACTCTCCTGGGGAGGTAGTAACTCATCTGGGGGAGGTAGTAACTCACCTGGGAGAGGTAGTAACTCACCTGTGGGAGGAAGTAACTCACCTGGGGGAGGTAGTAACTCACCTGGGGAGGTAGTAACTCACCTGGGGGAGGTAGTAACTCACCTGGGGGAAGTAGTAACTCACCTGGGGAGGTAGCAACTCACCTGGGGGAGGTAGTAACTCACCTGGGGAGGTAGTAACTCACCTGGGGGATGTAGTAACTCACCTGGAGGAGGTAGTAACTCACCTGGGGAGGTATTAACTCACCTGGGGGAGGTAGTAACTCACCTTGGGAGGTAGTAACTCACCTGGGAGAGGTAGTAACTCACCTGGGGGAGGTAGTAACTCACCTGCGGGAGGTAGTAACTCACCTTGGGAGGTAGTAACACACCTGGGGGAGGTAGTAACTCACCTGAGGGAGGTAGTGACTCACCTGGGGGATGTAGTAACTCACCTGGGGAGGTAGTAACTCACCTGGGGGAGGTAGTAACTCACCTGGGGGATGTAGTAACTCACCTTGGGAGGTAGTAACTTACCTGGTGGAGGTAGTAACTCACCTGGGGGAGATAGTAACTCACCTTGGTAGGTAGTAACTCACCTGGGGAGGTAGTAACTCACCTGGGGAGGTAGTAACTCACCTGGGGAGGTAGTAACTCACCTAGGGGAGGTAGTAACTCACCTGGGGAGGTAGTAACTCACCTGGGGGAGGTAGTAACTCACCTTGGGAGGTAGTCACTCACCTGGGGGGGTAGTAACTCACCTGGGGACGTAGTAACTCCTGGGGGAGGTAGTAACTCACCTGGGGGAGGTAGTAACTCACCTGGGGGAGGTAGTAACTCACCTGGGAGAGGTAGTAGCTCACCTGGGGAGGTAGTAACTCACCTGAGGGAGGTAGTAACTCACCTGGGGTAGGTAGTAACTCACCTGGGTGTAAGCCTTCTTGACCACGTAAGGCAGGAGCGCTTCTTGGAAGTGATTGATCATTTGCGTCACGATCAACATTGTCGCCACTTGCTGCGGGAGGAAGATAATTTTAGTCTTTAATGTGGGAGTCTTAGTTGCTGAGAGTCTTAAGACACACACACACACACTTGCTGAGGGAGGAAGATAACGTTAGTCTTTAATGTGGGAGTCTTAGTTGCTGAGAGTCTTAAGACACACACACACACACACTTGCTGCGGGAGGAAGATAACGTTAGTCTTTAATGTGGGAGTCTTAGTTCCTGAGAGTCTTAAGACACACACACACACACACACACACACACACACACACACACACACACACACACACACACACACACACACACACACACACACACACACACACACACACACACCCACACACACACCCACACACACACACACACACACAATAGGAGAAGACGACATGACCCAGCTGGAAAATTTTCGGAGAATAGGGGGTTTGTAAAAAAAAGAACCCGGCCAGTGAAAGTGACCTTCAAGGCAGATTCAACTCGGAACAGGATCCTGCAGGAGAAAGCACGATTAAGGGACATGCCGGCATAGAGGAAGGTGTATCTCGACCGCGACAAAACACAAGCAGAAAGGCAGAAACAGAGAGAGATGGTACAAAGGCGAAAGGAGGAAAGAGAGGGGATGGAGAAGACAGACAGGAGATCCCAGACACAGAAAGATCAAATACAGCCTCCCTCACAACTTCCTATAGAAGCCTCCCAACCAGGTCAACCCCAGTGCAACCAAACACTCTAAACCAAAACACCCATGCCACATCCAATGCCCCCACCCACTGCATTACAAACTCCACCCCTGCAGCAACCACCCATAGTTCCTTATCAGGTCTCCCACCTCCCCAACCCCAATATACCTCCCAGACCACAATCTTAGAAAAGAAGTTGAAGGTGTGGTATACAAATGCAGATGGAATAAAAAATAAGTATGAGGAGTGGCATGAAAGAATCAAGGAGACATCCCCAGACATAATAGCACTCACAGAAACAAAACTCACCAGAATAATAACAGATTCAATCTTTCCATCCGGATATCAAATCCTCAGGAAAGACAGAGGGAGGAGAGGGGGAGGAGGAGTTGCACTGCTCATTAAAAACCAGTGGGGTTTTGAGAAAATGGAAGGAATGGATGGCACGGGCGAAAGGGACTACTTAGTAGGAACAATCCAGTCTGAGGAACATAAGGTGATAATTGCAGTAATGTACAACCCACCACAGAACTGCAGGAGGCCAAGAGAAGAATACGATGAGAGCAACAGAGCAATGGTTGACACACTAGCCGAGGTGGCCAGGAGAGCACACATGGGGGGAGCAAAGTTACTAGTTATGGGTGATTTCAATCACAAGGAGATTGACTGGGAAAACATGGAGCCCCATGGGGGTCCCGAAACATGGAGAGCCAAGATGATGGATGTTGTACTGGAAAACCTCATGCATCAACATGTTAGAGACACTACCAGAGAGAGAGGAGAGGATGAACCAGCAAGACTGGACCTTGTATTCACCTTGAGCAGTTCTGACATCGAGGATATCATATATGAAAGGCCCCTGGGAGCTAGTGATCATGTGGTTCTGTGCTTCGACTACATAGTTGAGCTCCAAGTGGAGAGAGCAGGAGGAATAGGGTGGGAAAAACCAAACTACAAAAGGGGGAACTACTCAGGCTTGAGGAACTTCTTTCAAGACATTCAGTGGGAGAGGGAACTGACAGGAAAACCAGTACAAGAAATGATGGACTATGTGGCAACAAAATGCAAGGAGGCAGAGGAGAGGTTTGTTCCCAAGGGAAACAGAAATAATGGGAAGAACAGAACGAGTCCTTGGTTCACCCAAAGGTGTAGGGAGGCAAAAACTAGGTGTACTAGAGAATGGAAAAGGTACAGAAGACAGAGAACTCAGGAAAATAAAGAGATTAGCCGAAGAGCCAGAAACGAATATGCACAGATAAGAAGGGAGGCTCAGCGGCAATACGAAAATGACATATCATCAAAAGTCAAGACTGACCCGAAGCTGTTGTACAGACACATCAGGAGGAAAACAACAGTCAAGGACCAGGTAATCAGACTGAGGAAGGGTGATGGGGAATTCACAAGAAACGACCGAGAGGTATGTCAGGAGCTCAACACAAGATTTAAAGAAGTTTTTACAGTATATACCAGTAGGACTCCAGGAAATCAGAGCAGGGGGGGTGCAAGAGCAAGTGCTGGATGAGGTACATATAACCAAGAAGGAGGTGAAGAAGCTGCTATGCAACTTGAACCTCAAAGCGGTGGGACCAGACAACATCTCTCGTGGGTCCTTAAGAGGGCAGAGAATGTGTGTCCGTTAACAAATTCTTCAACACATCATTTGAAACTGGGCAACTCCCGAGGTATGGAAGATCGCAATGTAGTCCCATTTTAAAAAGGGAGCGACATGAGCACTAAACTACAGACCGTACACAAACGTGTTGTACAAGGTCATGGAGAAGATCATCGGGAGGAGGTGGTGGAGCACCTGGAAAGAACAAGTGTATAATTGACAACCAGCAGGGTTTTCAGGAGGGAAAAAATTCCTGTGTACAACCCTACTAGATTTATGACAAGGTGACAGAAAAGAAAAGAAGAGAGGGGTGGATCGACTGCATTTTTTGGGATTTGCAGAAGGCCTTCGACAAAGTTCCCAAGGTTACTGCAAAAGCAGGGGACAGCACACATAACAGGAAGGCAGCAATGGATCAGAATACCTGTCGGGGAGGCAACAACGAGTCATTACGTGACGAGGTTTAGTGGTTTCCGTGAAAAAGGGGGGTTTCCACAGGGTCATTCCTAACCTTGCTGTTTTTGGTATATGTAATGACAAACGGAAGGGAAAGACTCAGAAGGTCCTTGTTTGCGGAGATGTGAAGTTAAGAAAAACAAATGGGAAAGAGGATCAGCAGGACTACAAAGAGACCTGGACAGGCTACAAGCCTGGTCCAGCAATGGCTCCTTGAGTTTAACCGCCAATGCAAAGTAAATTGGGAAGGGCAAGAGACCGCAGACACAATATAGTTTGATGGCCAAAGTCGCAACCTCACTCAAGGAAAAAGATCTGGGGTGAGTATAAACCGGCATACTCCCGAGGCGCACATCAACCAGATAACTGCGCAGCATTCGGGGCCGGGCCCAAACCTAGGGTAGCTTTTCCGAACTCAGAAGATTCGTTCAAACTTGTATACATTTACGTCAGCCCATACTGAGTATCGCACATTGGAAATCAACCAGTCAAGCACGTCAAGAAATTAGAGAAAGTGCAAAGGTTTGCAAAAAGACTAGTCCCAGAGCTACGGGGATTGTCCTACAAAGAAAGATTGAGGGAAATCGCCTGACGACACTGGGGGGCCAGGGGGGTCAGGGGACATGATAACGACATATAAAATACTGCGCGGAATAAACGAGGTGTACAAAGACGGGATTTTCCAGAGATGGGACACAGACACAAGAGGTCACAATTGGAAGTTGAAGACTCAGATGAATCAAAGGGATGTTAGGAAGTTTTCTTCAGTCATAGAGTGGTCAAGCCGTGGAATAGCCTAGAAAGTGAATTTAGTGGAGGCGGGGGAACCAAAAAATGGTTTTTAAGGCGAGGTATGATGGAGCCATGGAGCAGGTAGAGAGAGGACCTAGTAGCAATCAGTGAAGAGGCGGGCCAGGAGCTATGACTCGCCCCTGCAACCACAAATAGGTGAGTAAAAAAATAGGTGAGTACCGCACACACACAAAACACACACACCACACACACACACACACACAACACACAACACACACACACACACACACACACCACACACACACCACACACACACAAAACACACACACCCCACCACACACACACGCACACGCACGCACACACACACACACACACACACACACACCACACAAAAACACACACACACACACACACGCACGCACATCCACACACACACACGCACGCACTCCACACACACACACACACACACACACACACACACACACACACACACACACACACACACACACACCCTCCACCACTTGACACAAACACTAGACACAAACACGTACCACCCCTTCCCTAACCACCTCCCCTTTAAGCACCTACCCCTCCCCCAAACCCCCTAACCCCTCCCCAAACCGTCAAACCCCCCGCCCAACAACCCCCCTCCAATAACCATCCTCCCCCTCCCCATAACCTTTCCATCCCCTCTCTCCCCCAAACCATCTACCCCCTCCCCCAACTATCTCTACCCCCTCCCATAACCATCCTCCCCCCCCCCACAACCATCCACCCCCTCTCCTAACCATCTATTCCCCTCCCCCTAACCAGGATGAGGAAAAGGGGGTTCCAAGGAGAATCTGAGAGGGAGGAATGGGAGATAGAGCTCAAAAAAAGGGGGAAGACGGGGAAGGAGACTAGATGAGCTGGAAAGGAAGATGGAAGAGAGGTTAGCAGCAGAATGCAGAAGGTGGAAGCAACAGCCACAGAAGCAGAAATCAAGATAGAGAGATTAGAAGAGGAGCTAAGACATCTGAAACAGAACAGAGACAAAGATATTACAGAAGTAGCATCGGCAATGGCTAAATTAAACACAGACAACAGGTCTAAAGGAAGATGGAAACTAAACTATATGCAGAGGTCCTGTCAAACCCACTGGGGCCAAAACAAAGACAGGGAGCACACTAGGACAGAAGAGAGGTTGGAAGACATCGAAGGAACTAGGACATGGCAAGGACCTTACCAGATACCTGTGTGGGCCAGGAGCAGGTGAGCAGGAAGGATAAACCAAGAAGCATGGGGGCCCATAACGAGGGAAGGGACTGAAGGAAGGAACACTCCACGGGAAGGAACTAAAACACATCAGAGGATGCAATGGGAGTCACAGTGGGAGGTGGAAAGGGAGAGATCCGTGTTTGTCTATGGGCTAGACGAAGCTAAAGGGGAAACTTATGATGAAAGAAAGCAGGAGGAGAAAAAAGCGATTGAAGACATCATGAAGGTGATAGGCGAGGGGACATGACCCAGGTGGCA